ATATCTATGTATGTATGTACATCCAAAGCTGCCGGGTAACAAGAAGTTTGTAATAAAGTATACATACATATATGTTCATATGTATATAATTGATCAGCGTGACGAGCTGAGTCGAGGACGTGTAGGTTCCTCTTCTTCCCAAGAAGCTGCTCATATTTCGAAGCCATCGTTATGAGACCACTATAAAATGTGGCTGATCGATCAAAATCCTCGTATCTAATTTTTTTCTTCTTCTTATACGAGATATTAAAAAATGTTTCTATTTGAAACCACGATTTGATATTGAACCAGCTTATCGTTTTTCAAAAGTTCTTAATATCGAAATTTTACGCAGAAACGGAAAAAAAGTTTTACTGTTATCGTCAATAGTGAAGCTTGAAATAATAATAAATCAAATTTTAAGCTTAAATATTATTTATAAAGTCATTTAATAACTAAATGCATTGTGCATATTTTCATTTAAATTACCGCCGGCAACTCAACAGTGCATGTGTGTTGATATATGATGGCTCAAAACTGTTAAATATAATATAATAAATATAGTTTAGCTAAAATTTTAAGACTATTTAATTATATCAAACGCTCATTCGTTCACTGTTTTATTTAAAAAATATTTAATATTTTTATATTGAACGCTGTTCGAATATTTATCACTATGCACTGCATTTGCACTGCAGAGCTGTCGCACTTACTCATAACTTATAAGTATACTTATAGCTTGTAAGAATAAAACTAAGTATCCACATTTTGTCCACAATTTTTAAATAATTTGTAGTTCTGCTACATACCAACATGTCTCAACACATCATTGTTACAAAATTTATAAAATGAAGAAAAATAAAATTATTTCATTTTTTCAAACCATTTAGGCATGGCTCAAATTGAATAACCTATTTTTGAAAGTTCTCCTTATTTTATGCTGAAATATTTCGAAATAATTTTAGATTAATAAACTAAATTTATACATCAACTGTTATAACAAGTAGTCCATTTTGCCGACGGCAAACACGCCTACACATGATTGCGAGTAATAAGACCCATACTGGCACCATCATTTTGTTTCCCGTTCAAACTCAAATTGTTTTTCATACATATGAGGACTTAACTAGGCACTACTAAATTATGAAAAGTACATCATACATATACATATATTTAAGTTCTCTCTTGTACTCCTAAATTTGTCTGATGAATGCAAGAAAAAACGTAAACCTTGGCTGCAATGAGGCTTTAATACCCTTCACCTGTGCATTTCTTAAAACATAAAAGGGTATACAAGTACCTTTACCTTGATTTTGACTGAAGAGTTTGATTGGCCGCCATATGCTATAGTGAACGATATGATATATTCGGAGATTAGAGCTTTGTGTTGGACAATAATTTATGCTAAATTTCGTGAAGATATATTGTCAAATAAAACAAACTTTTATATAAGGACAGCTATATGTTATAGTGGTCCGATATCGGCCGTTCCGAAAAATGTGCAGCTTGGAGAAAAAAGGACGTGTAAAAAACTTCAGATTAATATATCAAAAACTGAGAAACGGGTTCGCGTATACACAGACGGACAACGGACGGATTCCTTTAAGCTACCTACTTCTATTGTCGACTTTAAGAAGCTTTTGCAGTCAAGACCAAACTGTAATTAGGGAAAGACTCGAATCCGCAATTTGATAATCAAAATCAATCAACAGAATAGCATCAGCAAAACTGTCATGGTTGCTTATAATATGACAGTGTCGGAGAAGCTTAAATTACTCGTTATTGGGAAATCAAATTATCTGCGATGCTTCGAGGCTAAAAAATCTCTGAATGTTGGTTATGAGTACAACAAAATCAACAAATCATGGAAAATTTTACTTAAAATGGATTTTGAAGCTGGACAAAAAGTCCAGTTTAGAAACAGTTAGTTGCTAATTGTTCTCAAGAACATCTGACAAAATATGAAAAATATAAAGCTTGCTTATTTCCCTTCCGACTTGACCTCAGAAATACAGTTTTTCATTCCAAACTTATTTTTCAGGACTAACTTTTATTACTTAATGTATGAAAAGTATATAAATTCTAATCCAGGCATCAAGAAGGCAGCTTATTTTGTAATTTTCTTTGATTAGCGAAATAATCCAAGTTTTTACCATGACTCGAAGCGAACCACTTTCCATCACATAATAAATATAGCTACTGAACTAGTAGATTGGATATGTACATATGTACATACATCGACTACATGAACATGAATCAATTTAATTGTAAAGAAATTTCAACAAATTTTTCATTGACTCGCATTCGAAATACAAATTTTCATTCGTTTACCAAGACCAATCGTCTGTCAACTAATCCTCCCACTTTCTTTATACCGATGAAAACACTACCAAATGACAAGCCTTCATTTGAGTGGAAGTTCATTGAGTTCTGTTGCGAGCGGTCGATTGGCTAACGTCAGCCAATCAAAATCCACCAAAATTCACATAAAATATTGGGCTGAGAGAAGATATATAGGATAGTGTACACACCTCCAAAGAGAGGCACAGCGAGAGCGATAAAACAATGAGAGTAAAAAATATTTCCTTGCTATTCGGTTTGGGCGAGTATTGTAAAATATATGTAAGTGCATATGAACATTCGCTTGACGAGCGAAGAAAGTCGGAGAAGAAGTGTTGGTATACATGCATACATATGTACATTAATGAACACACATATGAAACCTATAAAATGTTTCGCAGTAACATGTTTGTGCTATTCATATAAATATACAGATATATATAATTATGCATTTGTACGTTTTTGTACAAGGAAACATATGTATTTCAATTAGAATTAAACGCGCGAAGTGAATTTAATTTACTATGACTATTAAAAAACATATTTTAGTATTTTTAACATATCTCTTAATTATAGCCTGCGTTTGAGTAAAATACAGGCCTGCAGACATCAAATAAAATTTGTTGAATCGATCCAGCGAATAAGTACATATGTTGAGCGTCGTCTATCAGAGAACATGAAATTATTGTTGTATGTTCTCTGCTAACATCTTCTTAATGCTACCCTACATGTTTCGAGAGCAACTCCATACAGTTTTCCGATGTTATATATGCAGTTATTCGCTGATGATATTTATTATGCCACATGAGTACTGTTTTTTTGATAAAAGAGACCCCAAAAATACGATAAAGCGGTACCTAATTCTAGAAATACAATTTTTAGAAAAGTATTCACCAAATCACCAGACCGATATTTTGCTTCCTAAAGCAGCACACAGTAATTGCCATATCTGAAACCTAACAAACATGTCACAGAAAATTCTTCAAATATAACTTACTAAGTTTTGTAGGCTATTGGCATACAAAAGTTTACAAATTTCAAGCTTTTGAAGTATACAAAGTATATATGTATATATTTTAAATTATTTGCACATGTAGATTTACATATGTATATATTTAGTAGTGTACCTGTGTACATTTGTTCTCTTTCATCTGAACGCCTTATCTTTTTTAACTTCGTTGGAAAAAGTATGAAAAATATCAAGCCAACAGATGAAACTCTTATGGTACACTAGTGGCTTAAGAAATATTACACTGGCGTCAAACATCAAGCGTAGATACTTTGTGCTATATCTGGGGTGGTTGGTTATATCTGCGTAACTAACAACTTTTCATAAAGCAATTATGATACATAGAAAATTTTTTATTATGCCCTGAACCCCTGAACAGTGTATATAAGTTTGCCACGAAGTTTGTAACACCCAGAAGTAAATGTCGGAGGACCTATAAAATATTTGTACATATTGTAATCATCGTGACGAGTTGTCCGTCTATCCTCGTATATTCGCGAACTAATCCCTCAATTTTTGAGATATCGATCTGAAATTTTGCACATGTCTAGCTTCCATTTGCAGTGTTGTATTGCAATAAATTAAACAGTTACGGTTACAACCTCACAGCCGAAGCATCGGTCGAGTGTAACTGCGAATATTGGATATTTTAAACAATATAAAAGCAAATTAAAAAACGATAGAAATGGGTGGGTAATGAGGGTGGAGGATGTGAAAACCAAGTGGGAAATTTTTCTTGGATTCTTTTTGAGCAATTTTTTTAATTTTAAACATACCAATTTTTATATATGTATATAAATATGTACTTTTTATAATATTGGAACGTTTTATTTTTCTTAAATTTTTATGCTTTTCGTTTTTATAATAAATATAATTAAAAGATTTTAAATAAATTTTATATTATAAAAAATTTTTTAATTAAATTCAAAACTTCACACTTTTAATGAGTAGAAAATCCCATCGCTGCCACCTGACGAGATATAAGTGCCAATTAATTTGTAATTTTTTTCCAATATTTATGTGAGGTATCTTTCGGTAATAGTTTCCAAGGATAATGCAATAACTTTTTTATTAGATAAAAAATAATAAATAGGTACACATATTTGTTTTTGTATTATTCGATAAAAGACTACATATTTACTATGTAAACGGGCTCCTTGGAAAACTATACTAAAAAAATTCAAACTAAATGTGGTTCAGAAGAAGGCACATTCGGCCAACATTTATATAAAAAAATTTACAGCCAGTATACATGATTAATATGTTTGCCAATAATGCAAAATACAAGTATGGAATATTATTTTTTTGCATTTTTTGTTCCAACTTTATTGTGATTTGATAACCATTTAGGTCTTTTGGGCATTTATTAATAATTGTGTGAAAATGTCTACAAATACATATACCAAATACTCATACATGTACATACATATGCTTTAATTGTTCATGAATGGCCACTTGAAAGCCGCATTTAAAATTTACGTAAAACTAACATAACTGCACAGTTAACTCCCGGTGTTTATATATTTATAACAGGAAATTGATTGTAGTATACTCATATAAAAACAGATAAAACTTACATACATACATATTTAACTTAAACTATTTTTTTACCGGTCGCGGTCACCGCTTTCTTTCTGTATCAACAGCTAAGCATCACTGGTTCTCTACAACAATCGCAGCCGACTTACCTACCTTCGCTACGCAAGCTGGACATGATTCGGATGGGGATCCAATCTATGTTGGGCTATGCCGAACAAGAGTCAGGCGTATGGAGCGTGGGGCGGTGAAGAAGTGAACAAACGCGATATTGAAGTATTGGCTGGCCACCACTACCCATTGGATTCCCGACGTGCAGTCAGCTATGGTCAAACTAGGCTTGGTGAACCGTTGTATGTGGGACGTGGTTATCATGCCAACAGTTTGACACCCGGCAAAGTTCACCTATCGCACGGATGTTTGTATATTGGTTAAATGATGTAAATGTAAGCTCCTGGAAGTTGTACACAATATGATAACGTAGATATAGATATATATTTTATACATACAAATGTCAGTACATACAATAAAATGTACAGAAAAACGATTGACGAGAGAATCGGAACCAAAGCGACCAAAGAAAAATCTTTTTAAAATTACAATGTATGTATGTAGCTGTCATAAAACTGATCGATCAAAATCAACATAAAAATATTTTATATGTACTCTTTTATGCTATAAAAAATGTAGCTGTAAACGGTATTATAGAGGCAGCCGAAGTTAATGATTTTTCCTTTGCAAACTGAAGTATCAATGAAGTAGTTTAGACTCTACCCAGCAATTGACGTCTACCGAAACTCCAATACATTGAAAAAATTAGCGTAAAAACTAACAAATACACACCATGCAACACATAAACCCTGTGCGTAGGAAAGGGATGACAATCACACGCACACAAAACTTTCGGTTAGTTTTGTCAATTCGACTTTAAGAAACTCATAGCAACTTTAACTGAAGTCTCTGGCAGCGCTCTTGGGAAGTTAACCAAGTATTAAATGGATATTTGGCTTACAGGGTAGCTAGCTTGTTTCGGTATTAAAAGCTGTAAGTCAGTATGAATGGGTTTGGAACTGATAAGACTGGACTTCAATAGGTGCAAATGCGGAAATATTGTACAAACGCCTAAAAATATGCAACTATTGTACACACTTTCACAAACTTTCCAATAAGGCTTTCTTAAGATTGAACTATGATTGATGAGCCAAATTACAACTCAGGCAAAACAATAATAAAAATTAATTTATCAGATAAATATGTACATATGTATAGGTATAGGTATTGTCGAGTTTATTGTTTTGTATAGGCTAGCTTTTCAAGTGGAGCGACATATTGCAGAGAACGTATAATAAATAATAAATAATATATGTTCACTGCCCTTATTTGATTTCGTTGATGTACATTTTTGTCTATTATTCTACTTTAAGTAAAATCGCAACTTATCAATATTTATAACTAATATGTAAAATATGAGAAACTTTATAATTTCCCAAAATCGATTCTACAATGGTAAAAAAACATTTTTGTGTTAAATTATATATAGAATTAAAGTACGGTATGCCTGATTTGGAAGACACGAAAAAAATGCGTAAAATAAAACGTTGGTTTTCTAACTCAAATATTATATTTATTTATTAAAAAAGTTACAGTATCTAGAAAACGTATATTGACGTTTCCTTAATTTGATGTTATTTATTTTATGTGAATGTGCGTCTTTATTCTACATTGCTTATGAGTTTTTGAGTTATGTGTACATTGTTATTCACAACATGAGACACTTGGTATATGCCAGTTCTTTAGGCGCGTACCAGAACCTCGTAATTGTTGAGGGTTATCTCCTGACCACCGAAAGGAATATACAAGCAGCCGTGAGATGGATGAATTTTGCCGGGTGTGAAGCTACCACCATAGTGGCCACGACCAATGTAGAGTGGTTCACCATCACTGGTGCGTCCACAAATAACCGCGCCTGGTGGCACCGAACCATTTGCATCGGGTACCCAACCATAGCCGTAACCGGTTAACAATTCATAATCATGCTTAACAACTTCACGACCGCCAAAGGGAACATATGCGCAAGCCTTTCTGGGGATAACTTTAGCAGGCAACAAATCACCCTCATGATAGGCACGTCCCACATAGATATCATCACCATCGGCATCATGGCCGGCATGAACGGTGCCCGGTACAATATTGGGACCTGACGAGCTTATCCAAGTCTCCGGTTGTACCAGTACTTCATAGCTATCGAGCCGACGTTCACGTCCACCAAATGGTATATAAAGGCAGCCATGTGATGGATGCACTTTGCCAGGTGTTAGACTGCCCTCCCAATGGCCACGTCCAATATATAACGGTTCACCGTCGGTTGTGCGACCGACGCGGAATGCATGTGGTGGTACACCACCGCCGTTGGCAGGTACCCAGTTGTAATGTTGGCCAGTCAACACTTCGACGTCTTGCTTATTGATCTCCTCACCGCCCCACGCCACGTACGCTTGCTGTTTGTTTGGTACAATTTTGGCTGGCAAGACGTCACCGTTGTGGTAAGCGCGTCCAACGTAGATTGGATCGCCATCCGAATCGTGGCCGGCATGCATGGCGAAGGGTGGCAAGTCGCTGTAGATGTTTGTGGAAACCCATGTGAATTCGCCTGCAAAAAAAAGAAAGAATTTTTATAATTTTTTAATAAATACACATAAGTACATACTTATGTATGATTGAATGTTGAAATATTATTTGCACAAATATTATCGTGAAATACAGCTTGATTAATACATGTGCCGGTTAGCTAATTGAAGTACAGTTTCCACACAGTTTTATGTATGTAAGCTTACTGTCTATCTATCACTTTTAAAACTCTTCTGTACACAAAACTGTTAAACATTCATAGGAATTAGTGCAATTACTTATTTTTAGACGCCTTATCAACTTGTTATTCAGTTAAGTAATCATAAAATAGTCAATAATAAAAGAAATAATGAAAACTGCACAAAGATACCGTTTGAAAATATTGAGCAACCGTAAGAGGACATACATATACACTCTTAACTGTTTACATATATAGGTACATATACCTATATTTGTTTGCACACTTATCCATTTTGTTTATGACAAGTTAAGGCGTGGCTATAAAATTATAATACCGTTGATTTTGCAAAACATAAGCACATAATATATGTGTCTACTAAAAATCATGGAAAATAGTATAAAAAAAAAATAAATTCGTTTTGAGAGATCAGCAGCTGATCCAGATGTCACTTGAAATTTATTGTTTTCCCGTAAAAAAAGGCTCTTAACTGCACCGGTTTGTTGATCTAAAAGCTTTAAGAAGTTACATAGGTTTCACGACTTCAAAAAACAAAAAAATTGTTATCGTCTTATTTAATTCTATAACATCTCAAGAATATTGTAATAAATTCTCAAGTTGATCCCAGTAATAGTTTTGGAGATATAGCTTTGAAAAGTTGCATGCTCGAGGACAGCTATGTATATAGTCACTTAAAACTTTAAACGCGTTTATCTCGAAACTGCGTTTGCAAAGTCGGTTGACAAGATTTCTCGCGAACTACTCAACCGATCTTAATCAAATTTACACAGCTCTTCAAGATATCCTTTACAATGTTTTGAATTCAATTACAATTATTTTCTTTCAATTACAGTTATTTAATACAAAAAAACTCGATACATTTTCACCAAAATTTACGCTTTTCTTTAAACGTCTGTCAAAAATACAATTTTCACTTTATTTGTGTTTTTTCTCATCCTAGCACCTTTTTTCTGAGAGACTACCGGAAATGACGTCGTAATGTCCGAGTTTTGAATATTTTCGTTTGAAAATTTCACAAAATCTTTATCAATTATATATCTTTAGAATAATGAAAAGTTTGAATAAAATATTTCATTTAAGGCGTTTTTTGTTCGACGAAATCGATGTAACCCCTTAAAATAGTGAGTAAAGATTTAAGGAGTAGTTAATTGAAATCGGCTAATGTTACTGATGCTTCTTTCTTCTAGTGGTTGCAGTTAATTCAGTCAAAAAATCTTCACAACAAACTGTTAATTTTACTATAATTATATAAAATTTTGAAAAACAAATTTACAGAACATTCTATGATATTTAGGGTTACCACCAAAATAACTAAACGTACACAAAACATGTCGAAGACCTCTCAAAACTCACAACTTTATGACAGCGAAACTGCACATAATTTGATAAAAGCAATTGAAACTTGAGATAAGATAAAATATATGTAGTTAAAAGCTTAAAAGCATCATAAATCACAAGCAAAAACAAAACATAGAATGGCACGTAAGTATGTATATTAGCTTCTTTAGAAATTAGTGGAACAATTTAGAAGAAGTACTTCAAATTACAATTTTAACTTAACAAATTCCAGTAAAAATATTGAAATTTTTGTGTTTTTAGCACTTTCACTTTTTTTTAAGAAATTTACATTTAAAAGCAATCTATCAAGGATTTTTTCTTTAGATTACAGTAACTTTTCGGTGTTATATGTAATTATAAATATTTTGTATCAAACTGATTTAAGCAGCAGTAAAAATTTTATATATTTTGAAATATATATATTATATTTTTATCCATGGCACTTTCTATTAGTTTGGTTTACTCCTAAAATGTTTGACTATTTTTGGAAGTATTTCCTTTAGTATTGCCTTATTCACAGTTGCCTGCCTACTCACCCATTTTATATGTTTTAAATAGTCACTAATTTCTTAATAAATTAAATAAAAACTATTTTTTGTGCTTCTTAACGATAGTACGTTGTTTCGATTTGAACTCGCAACTGCAAATGAACATAATATATAGTTACCGCGAAAAAATATACGAAACCCTACACTAGCGAACAAAAGAAGACTTGCATTTAATGTTTTTCGAGTTTTTACTAAACACAAGTGCTTATCGTTTTAGTTTTTATTGAAAACTTTCAACTTTTGAAACAAAAGCTGGCACTAACTTGGGTTTTGATTATTCTAATTATCACTTATATATGTTTCACTATGTTCTGTTAACATTTAATGCTTGATTTTAGATATGAAGATATATTATGATTTAAATGTAAACAAAATTCAAACAAAACATATTTGGTACACTATAAATACCAATTAATAGGCCAGAACCGATAATTTTTGAAAGAAAAAAAAATCACAGTAGGATTAAAACCATTCCAAGTAATATACAGGCAATCTGTGGTTGGGAAAAACAAAACTTACCGACTTTTTAGAAAACCGCAGATATTGTGACGATATTAAGTCAAAATAATAAATAGTTTATATACAATAACAATAAATAAATTACAGTGTATTTGGCACACAAAAAGGTGCGGTTAGCTTTTGTAAAAAAAAAAAAGTACAAAACTTGGGTTTTTAAATATTTGTCATAAATTTTGAGGCGAAATTTGTAAACCTGCTTTTTACATATAATTTTGCTATTTGGTTTCTTAGTACTTAGTTGCCACATCAGCATATGATTCGTTATATTGAAGTGACACTATTACCCTGAACTCCAGTGTAGTTAACAATATAACCTATGTACTTTACCGTTATCTTATCAGTATTCTATAAGTTTTGTCATAAAACAGAAAGTTTCAAGATAAAAGTCAAAAGGCTTTTGAAATACGATATTTGTTGCCAATGTATGCCCCTATATGCAAGTACAATACATACTTACATATGTATGTATATAGTACATTTTCTATAGAAATTTATATGAGTATATTTTGTAGATATGTAAATAAAATTTATGACATATCGATTGTATGTATTTCCTATTTTTCAGCACATTTGTTTTTGTTGTTTAGCAACTGCGCTTGCTATTGTGCCACAAATCGCGTGAAGCACTGGTGTAGTCAAAAGGGTTGATAAACTTTGAATAAATTAAAGTAAATAGCTTTTGTAGACAATTAAAGAGTAAAGGCAGTTTTAACAACGCTATTTTAAGCTCAGATTATTGCTTTTAAGCATGTATTATCCACTAAGAATAAGCATATATACGTATATACACGAATGATGTAATTTTGTCAAGTAACTGAATAACGATCATTGTGGGTTTAAATGTATATAGTTCAGTAATATATACTTATATATATAGTTTCAGTAATATATATATGTATGTATATTTTTATATATGTACTTATGCTACATGCATAGGTTCATCCTTTATTTAAAATCTGCTAAATTTGATATGATTGTATGCAAAAAAGCGGCTGATTATGATGAAGAACTCTGAAAACGTTTGTATATTTTTAGGTTCTTCACGTTAATGTTTATTTATACATACACATATGAAGAAATACATAAGAGCAGCAGTTTGTAGAGGCCCGAAGCAAGTAGCCTTAATATAATATATGGTGAACATGGTTGAGAAGCAATGTCGCCTATTTGGCATGCTAGTTAGTTACATTAACAAGGTTGCCAGATAAGCGGTTACTTTAAAAGATTAGTGCATTTAAAATGAGCATCTCGAGGTGTATATTTTGTGCAAACTTAAAGACTTTTTCAAACAAAATTCAATTACGGAGCTTTTAAGCTTAAGCTTTGGAAATTTTTTTGTAAAAAAAAAAATAGAAAACCAGTATTTCTTTTTCGCAATTTCCTGCAAGTATTTCTGTTTCTACATATATGGTACATATACATGTACGTATGTAATTTTTATTGTACTATGTACTTTGCGATATGTGCTATATATATATTTATTTGTACGTTACTGAGCCATGATAATTCATTTACAATGAGTCACATCTATAGAAGTCAAGAAAACACCTGATGATAATGATAAGATAATGAAACAACAAACACGTATTGACAAGTAGAAAAATGTTTTTATTTTTGCACAATAAAAATTACTCCCGACTGCACAAAAAAAAGTTTGGTCATAATTTGCAAATACAAATCTATAAATTGATACCGATTGTTGTTAACGTCTGTGAAGTCCCTTTTAATGTGCTTTAAAAGGTTAGTAATAGTTTGGTGTCGGAATCTATTCCTCACGCAGAACCTAGATTTTAAAATTTCCTGTTGAGAAAATTATATATTACACAGAATTTCCATTAAATACTAATTTTTCACCACTTCACCAATACGATTAATGTTTGTTATGTAAATATCTGCAGTTCTTCAAAGTAAAAGTTCAAATATATTTTAAAAAAATCATTTTTTTAGCTCTCACAACCAATGCAAATGTTATTTGCAAGCCTTAGAGACTAATTGTATTACCACTATTACGGTCTTCAACTCCACTCGGTTGAATTAATGTTCATCTTCAGATCAACCCAACTCTTTTTTGGAATTACGAATTTCAACTATTTTCAGTCGAAGTTTGATTGGTGTTGCCAACCTATAAAATGAAGATTTGACAAATAGTTAAACAACTGAAAATTTTTAAATGAAAATTCAAAACAATTTAATTTAGTTATTACTTAGGAAAAGGCGAATTATCGAATTATCAAAATGGACATTAGTTTTAATTTATGGTTAAATGTTAGGGCCAAAACTGATGTGCTGCGCATAAGAAACAACCTTCGTGATCACTCAAATCCTTTCGAATTTATTAACACCAAGTAAGCCAAAGTTTTATTGACAATTAAATGGCTTTTAAATAATGTTTGTCGCATTTAGATGAGGAATCTTTTTGTGTTTTACTAAATGAATTGAATGAACGTTCCCACAAACTCTGCACTTGCTTCCTGCCGCAATCTACGATATCTATGGTTGTGTGTACCGTGTGTAAAACACCAATGACTGAGGAAGTATTTCTTTTTACTAATTTTCCATTTTCTATTAATATTTTTTCTAAACAAGTTCATTAATGTTTTTTTGATACTCTAGTCACTGGCACAGAGTTGAAAACCGTAATTCCAAAAAAAAGTTGAAGTTTGATAATATTTCTAACGAAATTTTTTTTGACGGGTTGAGTTGAAAACCATAATACCGTATTTAAAAACTTCAATCAAAATGCAGTTGAGTTGAAAAGCGTAATTGGGCCGTTTGTTTAATATGGCATAACTTTAAATATGATCAGTGCCTTGGGTCACATTTTCAATAATTACTTAAATATTTTGAGTATTTTGTTAGCACTTCTCATATACATATAGATAAATAAAACTTTTCAAAAAAAGTTAAATCAATGAACACGATTTAATTTAGGCTCGACTGGATCATCATTTTTAGACAACACTATCTCATGACTTATCCTTTTGATAACGGTAGGGATGTCAAATATATAACGCATATGAATTGGACAGACATTACCCATACATGTATGTATATTAGTGTGTCTTTTATTTTTCAAGTCAATTTTTTATTGCAAACGCCACCTGAAGTTTCAGTTTTTGCCCTAAAAATTATTTTACGTAAACAAGCTGTTTATTTTAAATTTAAATTTCTTTTCACGTATATGTATGTATGTAACATGGAATGTTTTGATATTTTGCATAAAGTAAGTAAATCTACAACTTTGAAAACATTATATTCTAGTAAACAATTTTTCGGTCTACAAAAAAACATTCAGTAACTGAGCATTCATACAAGACCAGATGTCGTCTAAGCAACACATATGTATGTACAAGTATGTACAAAATTTTTAAGGCACTTTTAAAAACGCTCAGTGCATTTGACCCATAACTTTAAATGCGTATAACTTTTAAATGTTTTTATTAAAAACTTGGGAAATAACGGACATCATTAAGAACATACATATGTGCTATGTGCAATCACACATACAATTGTTGGTGCGCTGTTAATCAATTAATAATAATCTAATAATAAAACAAATCGAAAATGGAAAAAATTGAATTTGGAAACATTTTTACTAAAAACATTTTGGGTTTGGTAAATTATTTGTTTGGTAAAATTATTGCTCTTTTTCGAAATATCAATGGTAATTTAAAACCGAAACGAAAGCAATACCGTTCGATAAGATAAAATAGCCCATACATATTATTCAATAAAAGACGATTTACGTTTAAAATCAACTCAGTTGAATTCATCGACGAGAACAGTTATACAGCGACCGTTGACGCACACGGAGCGTTCTAACCGTTGAATATAATTAAAGAGAAATTTTGATAACGAAGTCATAACGATTAGAAGAAATAAGTAAATAAAAGAAGATTTCTGTAATCTGTGCAAAACCAATACACAATAAATATGGGTAAGAGAAATATATTACAAAAAATGGATAAAGTGCGTTTTATAGAACTGAAAAGAGTGCAATGTTAAATGTATATTCTTAGACACTGATTTTCTATAAATAAAGCATGTGATTAAATTAACTATGAACTTATATATTTTCCTGAAAGAAGTCTTATAGTTTTATCTCTGATTGGTTCAGTGATAACACTATATCTATAACACAGATAATTGAGCGAGTGATAATAGAATTTTATAAACATACATTTGCACATACATAATAATTTGCGTGAACTTGCAAAATTATGCATTTGAGTAACCAATAGGTGTAGTCTAATATTAAAATGTCACTGCATATTTTTAGGCGCTACGATTTCGGTGCAACCCGGTGCTGTTTTCCAACACGGTAAATCGCCTTTATAATTAAAAGTGTAATTAGTTTTTGCTGCCTAAATACTTTGGTAATGATTCACACATTGCATAAGCTTTCAGAGCAAACATTTAATAACTAACACTATCGATACTTAGATACTTTCAATACTTGTATGTATGCTTGTGCATGTGCCAAATTAGCGAAATAATAGATTGCCATGATTCATACTTCGTGCGACCGACCATATGAGACCGATAATACTTCCTTAATACAAGTATAATAACACTTCTCATTTTATAACATTTATTATTTACCATACTTATACATACGTACCATTTAACTGTGCAATCACTGTTATCTTTTCTTTAAAAAGAAAAAAAAGTATATATTGTATATTAAATGTACAGTATTGCAAAAAATATTTCAATTCATGGGCTTTAATTTGACCTATTTCTTTTCAGAAACCTGGGTACATTCGTCACCATATCAGCCTGTGCCACCATTCGCCGTTATTGGTGGACGCGACAGTGATGGCACTCCCATCTATGTGGGCCGTTCATTCCACGAGGGCGATAACCTACCGGCCAAAGTGGTACCGAGCAAAGGATGCGGTTATGTCTGCTGGGGCGGTAAGGAAATACAAAAAACACACTATGAGCTGCTAGTGGGTCAAGGCTATGCTTGGGTAACATGTTATGGCGGTTCTGTGCCGCCCAATGCTGTGCGCAGCGGTACCACACGCAACGGTGAGCCATTGTATATAGGTCGTGGACATTATGCGAACAGTTTAACCGTTGGTAAAATACATCCATCGCATGGCTGCTTGTATATACCGTTTGGAGGTAATGAAGTGCGTCTTGACTCATACGAAGTGCTCATCAGACAGGCCACAGATCAATGGGTGCCCACAACACCACACCACGTGCCGCCGAATGCTGTCGTTGGTGGCTACGATTCTGATCGAGCGCCTATCTATGTGGGTCGTGCCATGCATGAAGGTGAGCTGCTGCCTGCTAAGTTTGTTCCCAACAAAGGTAGTGCATACGTCTGTTGTGGCGGTTACGAGATCAATAAGCCCTCTTTCGATGTCCTCTGTGGCTACGGTTACAGCTGGGTGCATGTATATAATCACGCCATCCCACCGAATGCTGTTATAAGCGGCGTCGGACGCAACGGTAATCGTTTGTATGTCGGTCGTGGCCATTATCAGGGTAGCTTAACTCCCGGTTTAGTTTCACAATTGCAACGCTGCCTCTTTATACCATATGGTGGTCGCGAAATTCGTGTCGACTCATACGAGGTTCTCTGCCGCGTTTAAGTTTTATTACTTTTCTATTGATTAGAACAAATTTGTACGAAAAGCACTGTAAAAATAAAAAGCATATTTGGTATGAAATATATAAAAATACGATTTAATCATTGCTATATCTCTCAAACTCGAACAACGCGGACGTATGCACCCTTTTGTTGAATTTTTATAGTTTAGGCGATTCTCACATGGAAAATAAATTTTATTTTATCTTTTTATTAAACTTTAGACCTCAAATGGGTGCATTCGTCCGCATACGCCTCCATTCCACCAAATGCCGTACTTGGCGGTAACGACTTTGACGGCGATACTATCTACGTCGGTCGCACATTTCACAATGGCGATACTCTAGTGGCACAGATTGTGCCCAAGAAGCAAATTGCATTTGTATCATGGCATGGAGAAGCAATTCCCAAGGATCATTTTGAGGTACTCTGCGGCACAAATCTTACCTGGCGACAATGTTATGATCATGTTATACCAGAGAATGCTGTAATTTGTGGCAAGACAGCCCTGGGCCAACCAGTTTATATTGGGCGTGGACATTATGAAGGCAGTTTGAGTGTTGGAAAAGTTTCATCAGTTCATCGCGCCTTATTCATACCATTTAAAACTGCCGAACGTCGTTTGGAATCTTATGAAATTCTAGTGGAGCAAAAACGCAGTGAAGGCTGGGCAGTTGGTGATACAACAACAACACCACCACCACCACCACCACTACCAACAGAAGAAATGAAACCATCATATCCCGTACCCCCCATTGTGGATGTAAAACCATATATACCACCACAAGATGTGAAGCCCCCATTGGGGCCACCAATGCCTATGCCAATGCCAATGCCACAACCACTCGGTCCACCACCAACAACCGATCCCTACAATCCGCATGCAGTTTTCGATCCGCCGCCACCATATCACTCAATCGGTGTTCCAGTCTATCCACCTACCCCGCCAATTCCACCTTATATACCACCCAGACAGCCAGCTGGTGATGGTCCGCAACAATCTGATACTTGGGTTGTTTCAAGCGCCAATTATACGCCACAGAATGCTGTATACGCCGGACACGATACTGATATGTCACCAATTGTGATTTGTCGTTGCTTTCACAATGGTGACTTGTTACCAGGCAAAGCGATACCGAGCCGTGCTTGCGCCTATGTCTCTTATGCGGGTCAGGAGATTCAAAAAGAAAGTTTCGAGATTCTCATCGGTGAGGGTTACGATTGGATGCCGGCTTCGAATGGTGTGTTACCACCAGGTGCTATAGAGGCAGGTCGCACTGTTAACGGCGAAATATTGTATGTGGGTAGAGCTCATTACAGTGGCAGTCTTACACCGGGTAAAATTCAACCTTCACACGGTGCGCTCTACATTGCCTTCGGTGGTTGTGAGCGAAGGATATCCAACTATGAAGTACTTGTACGCCGCAACAATTTTTACCGAGATGAAGCGATAAAAATCTGTTATTGAATGATGAAATGTGATTAATTTGTTTGTAACACAGTTTCCATATATTTTAACTTACAAGTATATATACACACTTACATATGTACATACGTATTTCTTTAATCATTTCAATATTTACAAAGCGAAATCTAATTACACTAGATTTTAAAATGTTGCTTTACTTTTTCCTCTAAATTATGCATACAAATAATTCCTGTATATAAAAATTGATTCAAAGTGTTACATCAATAGTTTCGTTTACATCAAAATCAATATTCTAAAAATAAATAATTTATAATATCTTTCACAGAGTCAGAGCTAGCACTAGGTATGCAGATATACATACTTACTTAGAAAAATCTTTACGTTTATTGAGGGCTTTTGAGGTATTTCACAACGTACTGAAATGTCTTTTAATAACGCAAATTAAACAGTTCCAACCACACGCATATCAGTAAAACCATGTGCACTAGATAAGCACAAGCCAAATGTACATACATGTATGTGTATTTGTATATTTCTTATAACTCTTTGACAGAGGTATGACCGATATTATTTTCTTTATTTCATAGAACATTCAAACATGTGTTAAATTTTTACATCCTCGCAACATGTTGCTACATAATATAATAGTTTAGTTCATCTAACGGGTTTCTTAGCAATTTTTTGACCACTGCTACGCACACAAAATGCCGATAATCGAAAACCTAGAAAACGTCATAACTAAGCCGCAACCTAAGATACAAAATAAATAAAATCCGATGATAACTTTTCATATAACTAAAATCTTTGTGTGTTATACAGATGGGCTTTATATGAGCCGGTGTCAAGAATGCACGTAGTTCCTTAGTAACTACTCGATCAATTTCCAAATTGATACATTACAAGTATATTATCCCTACTGACCGAAATCGGACTACAAATATGCCATCTACCCATCAATAGATTTTTAATTCAATTTGATTCTTTCATTTTACAGTAAATGAATCGTAAGTCAATGACGTTTTCGAATTAAAATTTTATACAAAATTGCCACGTTCAAAAATTGTCGTTATCGGCCCATAACTTTTCAAGGCGCCGAATATGTGGACCCCAGTACCTTTAACTAACTTTTTAAAGAGAGTATCATTGAATCTGTGCGATATATTATTGTAATTCAGAGAGAATAATTTCCTTATAATAATGTGCCCTTGTGTCAAAAATAGGTAAAATCGGGGCAACACTTCCTCTTGTCCTCAAATACCTAATATAATGCATACTTTATTTCGAATATAGAGGTCAGTGTGTGAGTAAGATTCATAAAATTGCGTGTAAACTTGTTCGCGAGAATTATTGAGTAAAGGCAAATATTAATGAAATCAATCCAGATATCCCTTAACCCAATATACGCGATAAGTCACTAAACATACATACCATCTGAATCTAAACCGTTTGTGTTGGTCAAAATGTGTGATATTTTTTATATAGGGACAACAACGTACAAAGACTCAGGTCTGGTCAAATATTTACATACACATAGGTATCTGCCCATGGGCTCTTAGACTATATAGCATATAGCTGCCATAAAAACTGAACGATTCAAATCAAGTCCTTAAGGAAAACTTGTTTATTTGACGAGCTATATTCAGGCATTTTGTCAGCAACAAGCTACGTTCAAGCTCTCAATGGCTAAAACATTATATAATATAATATATGTTATATGTTATATGTATGAAATGTAGAATGAGTATAGGTTTATTTTTTAAGTAATATTATAGTAAAGTAGTAAGAATGTTAATGGCCGCAATATATTTGCAGACTAGAAAAGGAGAAAACAATCAGGCGCTAAGCCTTTATCAAAGTGATCATTATAATTAACGATATTGCTAGTCAATATTTCCATTAAGTTGGAGCAGAGTGAGGACTTCAGTCGTGTTTGAGAGCTCGCGGTGTTTGCACGTGTTGGTGGATATTTGATGAAATATTTGCTAAACATTTTTTTTTCAGATTAAAGTACCCACCGAAATATCCGTGTTTATATCAAATATGTTAGATATTGGCAATAGTGCTTTTTATTGAAAGAAACTAATTTAAATTAATTAAACTTAGAAATGTGTGTTCTAAGAAATTTCGTATAAAGTGCTATTAGAAGTGATTGAGAAGTGTAAAGTTTTCATATTTTTGTTAAATGAAAAGTATAAATTAAATAATTATTAAAATGCACATAAAGTCTTATATAAAATAAAGAAGAAAAAACGTAAACTTCGGCTGCACTGATGCTTATTTACACCTGTGAAGGGTAGGTGTATTTTTTATAGCATAAAAGGGTGAAAAATTGTCTTTATTTAGTCAGTTGCATGTCAGCTATATGCTATAGTAGTCCAGTCTGAACAATTTTTTCGGAAACTGTACCGTTGATTAGAGCAACAATTCAAGCCGAATTTCGTGAAATTATCTCATCAAAAAATAAGCTTTCCATACAAGGACATGTATTTGATCGTTCAGTTGGTGTGGCAGCTATAAGTTATAACGTCTAAAATGTCTAGGTCATGTAAAGAGGAATTAACACTAAGAGAGCACAGATCAAAATTGTTCAAAACTTAGACAATGTTAAGAGCAAGATTAAGATGGATCGACGAATTGGAAGAAGATATGAAAAAGTTTCTTATACAAAATTGGCGAAAAATAGCAAGTAACAGGAATGTCTTGAAGACACACAGCCACAGCTCAAAAGAGCTGTCAACGCATGATATTTAACAACGCCTTTTCGTGGAGAAAATCGATGAATATTTTGCCCACTCCATCCGGTAGTTTACGACAATTTGCTTCACGTAGACATCTCTAAACTGTTAAGTAGTATTCCTCATAGACCGTTTGACCCTGTGAATGAATTCATGGTGAACCACACTATGGTAATCAAAGCAAACGATGAGCATCACCTTGATTTTCGACTTTGACATTGTTTTTTCAGTTTCTGATAATTTTTACATTAATTTCGACGTCAAATTCATAAACCTACGGCTTGTAGCTAGGAATGATGTAATTGATGCAAGTAGGGTCCGCAAATCCGTTGTCAAGCATCTTGTTTGCGACCGCTACTTGACGTCGGTTTTGCAAATGGTTCAGGTCTTTTTTTAAGAGTCGTTCCATAAGAGAACATGAGATCCTCTATTATCTCTCTGATGATAACTAGACGACTCTCAAGCACTGCTTCTTTAACTTTTTCGATGATATCGTTATTAACAGAGGTGGATGGACGACTCGCCTGAGGCAAGTTTTCGATGAATTTAGAACCTTAATTGAATACTTACTGAGTGGCACTAAAATACTTGCGTTCGTGATAAAGTAGGCTCCCCAAACACTTCTGCAATATTTTCAATAATTCCGTAGTAGTGATACCACTTGAAATACAAATTTTCAAACAAACTTATTGTTCAGTTACTTTCCCCTTGGTAAAAATTGCCAGATAAACTTTCCGCATCGTAAACAAAGAGCGGAAGCACACACTAATTGGCATATGGAGATAAAACTTTACACAAACATAAAAAAGTATAGTAACAAAATATCAAAAAATTGGTTTATCTGTTCGGTTAGCGCGCAGTTTAAATGAACCAGGCCGAGTGTTATTTGATCAGATGGTATTTAGACGTCTATAAAAATTATAAAAATAAAGCAATTGTTGAATTCTTAGGCGATTTCTCGGAATACGCTCCCCCTCCGATTTGCATAAAATTCTTAGAAAACCTTCTCTATTCATAAGCAATATCCGAAATTTGGACTCCAAAGGTTCTTTTCTGGCGGACATCTCTTGTCTAACTTAAAAACTCAAAAAAAAAAAACAGAAAAAAATAAAAAAAAAATAATGTGAGAAAATACGCGACAAAAAATGAAAATTGTTGATCAAAAAAGCGCAACTCAGTTATTATCCGTTTAATTATAAATCAAAAATATCTTTACTGCCGCAATTGAAAAAATAATGAAACAGGAGGGGCAGCTATGGTTGAAAATTGTTTTAAAAAGTGGGCATGGTCCCGCCTTTTAATAAGTTTAATGTACATATATCTTAAATCATGCGAGCTATAATGACCAAATTCGCTCAGAGCAAATTTTTTTGGCATCCCTACCCACCCCGTTAAAATAGGTGAGTTTGGATTATAATCGCGCCCACTCCCCATATACTTTAATAGGAGCCGGTGTCAAATATGGACGATGAGCGCGCCCACATTTAGTTGAAAATCCATATTTCGGGACCTACTTAACCGATTTTAACCAAATTCAGTAGCTAATATAATCCTGACATTGTTACATTACATTGTGAAAATGGGCGAAATCAAAAGAAACCACGCCTACTTTATATGGGAAATTTTACATTTTATCTGATTCTTTCACTTTCCAATATACAAATCAAGAACTAATCAATGTATCCAACTAAAACTTTGCACGAATAGTCGTTTGGAGTTTGCCACTTTATGACCAAAAATTGTCCAAATCAAGCCCACAGACACGAAGTTTGCGAGCGCCAGTAGCTATTGTGAACTTTTTATCGAAAATATACGTCAATTTGTGAGATATTTTTTAGAAATTCGGAGAGAATCTCTTTCTTATAATAGTATGCCAGTATGATAAAAATAGGTTGAATCGGATCAATACTTCCCTAATCTCTACATTTCAAGTGAATCAGTAATTATTGAGCATTTTATGTTTCCCAACGCATCGGATTTATACTTTTTAGCTCTTTGAACCCTCAATTCGCGACTTCCGTGGGGATTGAATTACAATCACATTAAAAACGATTTTTGATATTTTAGAGCTCACATATTATATGTAAGTAAAATACGCTATCAGAGCACAAACAACAAACTATTTAATACATAGTTAATATTTAANAAAATGTACATAGGACAACACAAAAGTTCATAAATGTTTACTATGTGCTCATTAGTCGGCATAGTTGTTTCTAATTAAACACAGTACTAATAAACGAATGAAAGAGATATAGTTTTGTTTTACAAATTTATGTTTTACAGCAAATATCGCCAACGGGATTGTTCTTGGTTTTATTAAATGCAAATGTCTTAAAGCTTTATTAATGTTTATCTCCACTACATTACTTTTGTAAATAC